CACCACACACACACAGAGGCGGGGCCAGGAGCTCGGACTCGACCCCCGCAACCTCAACTAGGTGAGTACACACACACACACACGACATAAACGACATGATGGAAGGAATAGACTCAGAAGTGTCCCTGTTTGCAGATGATATGAAGTTGATGAGGACCAGGCAGAAACTACAATGGGATCTGGACAGGCTGCAGGCCTGGTCCGGAAACTGGCTCCTGGAGTTCAATCCCACCAAGTGCAAACTCACGAAGATTGGGGAAGGGCAAAGAAGACCGCAGACGGAGTACAGTCTAGGGGGCCAGAGACTACAAACCTCACTCAAGGAAAAGGATCTTGGGATGAGTATAACACCAGGCACATCTCCTGAGGTGCACATCAACCAAATAACTGCTGCAGCATATGGGCGCCTGGCAAACCTCAGAACAGCATTCCGACATCTTAATAAGGAATCGTTTAGGACCCTGTACACCGTGTACGTTAGGCCCATATTGGAGTATGCGGCACCAGTTTGGAACCCACACCTAGCCAAGCATATAAGGAAATTAAAGAAAGTGCAAAGGTTTGCAACAAGACTAGTCCCAGAGCTAAGGGGATGTCCTATGAAGAGAGGTTAAGGGAAATCGACCTGACGACACTGGAGGACAGGAGAGATAGGGGGGACATGATAACGACATATAAAATACTGAGAAGAATTGACAAGGTGGACAGAGACAGGATGTTCCAGAGATGGGACACAGCAACAAGGGGTCACAATTGGAAATTGAAGACTCAGATAAATCACAGGGATGTTAGGAAGTATTTCTTCAGTCACAGAGTTGTCAGGAAGTGGAATAGTCTGGCAAGTGATGCAGTGGAGGCAGGATCCATACATAACTTTAAGAAGAGGTATGATAATGCTCATAGAGCAGGAAGAGTGACGTAGTAGCGACCAGTGAAGAGGCGGGGCCAAGAGCTGTGAATCGACCCCTATAACCACAACTAGGCGAGTACACACACACACACACACACACACACACACAGGAGCTAAGACTCGGGGCCAGGAGCTAAGACTCGACCCCTGCAACCACAAATAGGTGAGTACGAGTGAGCTGAGTTCGACCCCCACAAACACACCTCGGTGACAACAGAGTAAAAGGTTTACTCTTGTTACGTCAAACCACAACAGGCACAGCGCAGTATGGATAGCAGATTATGTTATTATTTGTCAAAACTGCTACACCCGGGACACACACACATCTCTCACGTCCAGGCGAAACATAAACGTAACCGCAAAATGCAAACGAAACTCTTAAGAGGAGTTAAACTTCCCAGTTTATGTTGTGCTGTCGAGTGCGTTTGAAAATGTGCTGCCAAGTATTCACTTTTCCTTGTGAAAATATCACAAAACTTCGCATGAACGTCGCCTCTCGCAGACACAAGTGATTTTCCACAAATGAAACCAGCGAGTTGCACAGTTGGTGGCACTGTAACTGAGCTTTCCCTACTGGGAAAGACACACACACTGCTGGCTCGAACACACGTAAATGAGAGAGAGAGAGAGAGAGAGAGAGAGAGAGAGAGAGAGAGAGAGAGAGAGAGAGAGAGAGAGAGAGAGAGAGAGAAACCCAGTACGTAGTAGTGGTAATCTTTCTCTGTCCGTTGTACTTGTTCTTGATGGTTGATATCTGACACACTCGTCATAATTATTCTTTACATATAGTTTTTATTGTTTACCTGTACACTGCATCAATAAGGTATCAATCACATCATATAAATGTGTCCACTGTACTGTACATGGAAATAAGTCACTGTCTGACTTTTTTGGGTTATCCTAGGTTCTCTACACATATGCTGCTATGTATGATAATTCTATGTAACTGTATTTGTGTATACCTGAATAAACTTACTAACTTACTTACTTACATCGTGCAGTATCCGACCCTCAGAACAGCAACAGTGTACTGTATATATACACATAGTATTGGGATAAGATCAAAAAATCTTTAATATCATATTTTATTTATTACTGATTACATTAATTACACGAAAATGTAATAAATTTGCCAGCATATCACGGAAATTTATTTTAACTGTCGAAAAATATTAAAGAGAGAGAAAGAGAGAGAGAGAGAGAGAGAGAGAGAGAGAGAGAGAGAGAGAGAAGGAGAGAGAGAGAGAGAGAGAGGAGAGAGAGAGAGAGAGAGAGAGAGAGAGAGAGAGAGAGAGAGAGAGAGAGGGAGAGAGAGAGAGAGAGAGAAAGCGAGAGGTTAGAGACAAGGAGAGGGCGTCACTGTGGTGGTGGGAACACCAGGTCGTATGTGGCACTGTTGGGTGGGTGGGGCTCCCAGGGAGACACTGCTGGCCAGCCGGCCCCCGCTAGTCGGCCAGGGTGAGAGGGCGGGCGGGGGAGAAAACAGTGAGTGCAGTCAGTAAGTACAGTCAGCAGACACGGCCACAAGGGCAATGAAACTGGGTCAACACAAAGTGAATTTCAGTGTCTTTATAATTTCAAGTGGATGTTAACAAGGCATAGTGCTTTTTTGTTTCAGGGAGAGACAGAGACAGACGGGGAGGCCTGCCAACCTGAGTGAGGGTGGGAGAGAGAGGGAGGCAGCCAACACCAGGGAGGCAGCCGACACCAGGGAGGCAGCCGACACCAGGGAGGCAACCGACACCAGGGAGGGTGCATATCCCGCCTCTTGTGGGCTGGGAGGCTTAGGCAGCGTCGGGCTTGTAGGACTTCCAAACACAAGATGAACAAATAATAGAGAAAGGTAGCCAGGCAGGCGCACAGGGAGCGTATTAATGTGTGTTAGCATAAATAATGCCCTAACACACAACCTATACAAAGGTGATTGCATGGTAAGTGCGTATGGGATGCATACACCAAAGTCTCTCTCCTGTTCTCTTTTTATCTACGCTTTCCTCTCTCTCATTCTCTCCTCTCTCCCTACTCGTAAGTCGTCTCCCCTCAGACCCCACACCCGAAGCAGAGCTCCGGATGTGGGCGCGTTACTCCCTTCTCTTTTGGCTTCTTGAGGGAGGGAAAGTGAGAGAGGACCTTCCCTCGCCTGGGTACCTCGTAGTCCCCCGTTCTTTTGTGTCCTTTTTATGTACACATTCTCTCACAACACAGCTCACTTTCTGACTATACTACTACTACTACTACTACTACTACTACTACTACTACTACTACTACTACTACTACTACTACTACTAATAATAATAATAATAATAATAATAATAATAATAATAATAATAATAATAATAATGTGAAAAATATGTGTCTTAGCATCGATTAATAGGGTTACTCAGCCTAATTCCTTGGATGGCTGTGAGAATATGTTGGACATACGAGAAACAATAAACAACTTCATTTCTTTGTGTAGTATACAAAGTGTGGTTTACATGTAATAAAATACTGATAAGCACAAAGAAAGCTACTAGCTTGCATGTGCATTTCGGGCAGATGTGAACCGAGTAAGATTATATTTGAGACAGACCTGGTAAGTATGGACCACTCTTCCTCCATTCTTATGTTCTTAAATACATCACGAGGAATGGAATTCTGAGGTTCGTCTGCTGCCCCGGGAATGATTGTATCACATGCAGGAGAACTGAAGTAGATAATGCTTGTCAGGAATCAGGACATGTGTTTCCTGACGAAGAGAACTGAAACGTTTACCAGCGTTAAGGGGCAGCTCAATCCATTTCTCGTAGCTCTAAGTCATATTTTGTAAGTTCATTCATGTATACAGTTACATTAACATAATAATAATAATAATAATAATAATAATAATAATAATAATAATAATAATAATAATAATAATAATTATTTATTTACTACAAGTACATGTACAAGGTATACAGGCCTAACTGACATCAATGACACAGTTGTCTCAGAAGATGAGGAGGTACTTGTACCTCCTTCCATGGGAGACGTAGGTCTCACGACACTCCCTAGCAGGGAGCCAAGGCCGGGTCACCATCTAGAAAAGACTCGGGCCGGGAGAGTACAGGCGAATCAAGAAGGAGGCCATACTACTATTTGGAAAGCTGCTGCATAACATTAGGTCAGTTTTGTCCCAGGATGCAACCCATACCAGTCGACTAACACCCAGGTACCCATTTTACTGATGGAGAACATAGACAACCGGTGTAAAGAAACACGCCCAATGTTTCTACCTTCGCTGGGAACTGAACTCAGATCCTCGCCGTGCGAAGCTCAGATAAGTCAGAGTGACTTGTTTCCATTTGGGTCCTTGTGATAATTAATATTTATATTTAAAAGTTAAAAACAGGTAAATATGGAGCATTACGGAGGAATATAATTTATGAGAATGTGGACAGGATTATTTAGCTGGGAAATTTTCCTCGAAAAATGGTAACTTCCCTTCATCACCATTCCAAAAAGAAGAAAGAGAAATGCACTTATGTCTGTCTTACTTCATGTCTCTGTAGATTATAACTTAATAAATTTAATAACTGAGGGTAAAATCATGTTGCAGAGGAAGCAATTATTTGGACAATGCTTCGCTCTGTTTAGAACGAAACATTGTCCCACTAAAAGCCTTTTCTAGAACTTGCATCTTTGTCTCCGTACTTGTTGGCAAGAAGCTATTTCATCCTAATACAAAAATTGCTTAAAAAGATAAATTATAGACCTCCTTAAATAGATAACTCAACATATCAACCAATTTAATCTCAACAGACATGTTAATTATGTGAGCCCAGTTCACTAGAACCCGCACTTAGAAAGAACATCAGGACGACGTTTTGGTATGTCCTGAGCCACTGTCAGGAGAAATGTGTACCTCTCAATGTTTATACACTCAACACTACTTTATAGATAAATGTAACAAATTAAACAAAAGAAATTTATGAAGTGGGTTTTATAGTTGTTCACTCACCTGCCCAGTAAACTCAAATAGATAATTGAAAGATAAAAGAGTTAGATGTGTCTGTATGCATCTTATATATTAACGACGTTTCCCCTTATATTGCGTTAGAGAAAACGTACACCATTCCTCCCTGGCAGCTTAAGAGAACTTGGGAGAGAGGCTTGGTGAAGGAGGAGCGTTATGAGGCGCTGTTGGTGAGGTGCGGTGCAGAGGAGCGGCGTGGAGGCCAGGCAGGCGTCACGTTAGCTAGGGGCGGGGATATATATATATGGCCACCAAGGCTGTGGCTGCTGCCACAAGGTTATTATCACAAACATCAGACGGGCTAGTATGTGCCGCTGTTGGTGAGGTGCGCATAGAGGAGCGGCGTGGGGGCCTTGATGGCTGCCTGACGTCACGTGGGGGTGGAAGTCACACTTCAAACACTGACGACAGTGAGAGTAATTAATGATGGAAGTTCACGTGTACCAGAACCATTTGTCGGGATTTCATTGATGAACTTTACGTACGTTTTTAGTTAAATCGTTTAAACGATGATAAGTGTATATCTCCCAGTATATATAATATACACTGTATACACTAATATACACAGGTCTCCAGGTGTTTGTGCATCTATCAAGACTGACTGGTGCATCATATAAACAAAGAAAATAGGCCAAATGAAATGGAAATAAGTCACTTTGACCTTTTTTGGGTCATCCTAGGTTCTCTACAGATATGCTGCTATGTATGATAATCTATATAACTGTATTTGTGTATACTTGAATAAACTTACACAACACTGAAGATTTTTCTTTAACTTGTGGGTTATTTGTGAATCAGTCAGGTCGAAGTGTCTAAAAAGAAAAAGAAGCTTTTGACAGATTTCTCTGATGCAGTGATCGATATCTTATCGTAGCTTTATCAGCCAAGATAGCAGAGTGCCTTACAATTATAACATATATAACCCATTGCAGACGCCTTGAAAGTGTACAAATAAATCCATATTTTAAGCATTAAATGAGCCTTAAGGTCAGTGTCTACGTGAATTACAGCATATGTGACTCTCCCTCTGGCCCAAAACACTCTCAACCTGGAGATGATTGTGTGGGGGCCATCGCTCCCTCTGCCCGGTCCCAGACCAGGCCTCCAGGCCCCTTTTTACCTGGCATTAACGTTGTTTTTAAAGTAAGGTTCGCCAATATCTGCTTACTGTAAGAGTAAGTAGTTACCTGTGTGCAAAAAAATGTTGTTATAATCATAACCAGAATTTTTAAAGGGGTGGATAGGTAAGCCAGCGGAAGGCCTCGGACAGATGACCAAAGGCTCCAGAGGCGGGTCATCATATGACAAAGACCCGCGTCAGGAAACACTTGTCCTGTTTCCTAATAAATCTTACCTACTACCTGTGTGCAACTAGGTACATGTGTCTTGGTGGTTACCTGTTTGTTGGTACTTACCTGTGTATTTAAATCATCAATCTGGATCTCATCCAGGGAAACTGGATCAAGGGATCCTAATGGAAATAAGCCACACTGCTTGGCTTTCTTGGGTTATCCTGGGTTAACAAAACTCCGAATAAAATCGACTTCCTCTTCTTCTCCAACCTGATATAAAACATTCCTCACTCTGATGTAAAACGTTCTCTATCCTGGTGTAAAACGTTCGCTATCCTGATGTGAAACGTTCCTTACCCCGGTGTAAACAGTTCTCCGCTCCCGTGTAAAACGTGTAAAACCCATGGTTAAGCATCCACTGGCTTACCGGTGTTGCAAACCCATGGTTAATTAATCCTCCGCTGGCTTACCACGCTATATATTCCACCTCGTGTAGAAAACAGATCCCCACATAAGTGTCCGATAATGTATAGAACGCTCAGAAAACATCGGAAAAGATTCAAAATACGCAGTAATGAGTTAATTACCGGAAACACGAAACAAAGAAGCTGACGGTGCGCCTAGAGTGTCATTATACGATTTAAAAAGCATGGTGAAAAATGTTGGGGAAACTACAGACTTTATATTAGTGAATATATGATGACTTCTCAGACTCTGTAGTGACTCATCACTAATCCACTTTTGGAAATGGAGGTGTCTGCATTGTAAATACAAAATAAACACGATGATGTGTGATCATACCTTGATGATGATGATGATGATGATGCTTTACACAAATGATGATGATGCTTTACACAAATAACCCGCAGATAGGGAGCCAGTATATACACAAGAGTAGCGGAAGGGACGGGAGAGAGAGAGGAAGAAGAAGAAATAATAAAATGAAGGAAATAGTGATAGTAGTGGTAGAGGTAGTAGTGATAATAGTAGTATTTGTGTATTGTTCCAGTCATGGTATTGTGGCTCTTTTTTCTTCACAATGTTCTTTACTATAAGTTCATTTTTACTACCATTCGTTTCATAAGTCATTATTCCTCAGACTTACTGAACGCGTTGTCTTTACCTCAGTAAAGAATAGATATATTAAATGCGTTTATTACTAATAAAAATCAACTCAATGACAGGTGAGAGTTCGATCAATAGGTCATCACAAGCATCGAGGTACCCAGTTAGGAGAACAATAATGTTCACAGTAGGGAAAATTCTGGCTTGGCAATATCCTACCGAGATACATTCAGATACTTGAATGCATTTAGGAACCGGGATACATTCGGGTTTCAAGAACATCAAGCAGGATACATGACTGTCATAAAGGATACACGCCGGTAAGACTATAAGTGTATAAGGAATTCACTTCAAAGCCGCGTTCACTGTGATTTCTGCTTTAGCAGTGTTGTATAAATACATTTTTAACATAAATTTTATGGAGTAGTGTAGTTCTTGAGTGGCATCAAGAGTTGTCGCAACTGAAGGACTAAGTCAAACTTCTCAAGAGAATTCAAAATGTTTACTTGGATTACACACTCTGTTCCGTATAAAGTAACTATGTAGAGAATGAAAAACCAATGTGAGCAGAGTTGGCCTATCAGACTCAAGTATGGTGAGGGGGAGAGGTGGGAGGCTGACGGGGAGAAGAACACCTCCGTCACTCCTGATGCAGGCTGTGGCGAACGTCACCATCTGTAGTTGTAGCCCTGGTAGCGGCGATCTGGGTGCTCGCTGACGTAGTCGTAGCTGTACTGTGGCCCGGCAGACCGCCTCTTGAGTTGATGGTGGTAGACGTAGTGACGGTAAGGGAAGCTGTTGTAGTAGCCGTAGTGACGGTAGGGAAAGGCGACGTCACCTGATTGGTATCCGTAGGCAAAAGCTGGGTTTGCCGCCGCCTGAGCTGCGGGTTTAGCTGATCGTTTGCCCACACCATGGACTTGTGGGAAGATGTAGGAAGTGGCGCCTCCTGGGTGCAGTGCCACTCCCTTGCCGTCCTCGCTTTTGGTGCGGAGTTGCTTATAGTGGTATGGGTAGAAAGGGTAGTAACGGTAAGGATGGTATTGTCGCGGTAGATCATGCAGTAGCCAGGGACGGGGCACCTCTCCTTTTACAAGCGGAGGAGGACGGGACAAATCTCCTATGATCCAGGGGCGGGACACATCCTCTTTCACTAACTGAGGATGTCGGGATGCGTTTCCTAAGAACCAGGAGCGAGGCACATCCTCCTTCACTAACTGAGGATGTCGGGACAGATCTCCCAAAACCCAGGGGCGAGGCACCTCCTCTCTCACAAGCTGGGGATGACGAGGCAGGTCTCCTAGAACCCAGGGGCGAGGCAGGTCTCTCAGCACTCCTGGCGAGAGGGGCTCCTTCTCCACCACAGGCTGCTGATCCTGCCCCAGCACTACGGCCGCCACACTCACCACAACAAACACCTGAGAAGTAAACATTGAAGTGTGAACACAACCCGAGCGCTGAATCACTACCAGAATACACTAAGGGGCTTTACTTTATTAACTAAATAACTACTAAAGGCTGTGTTTTAAGATAAATACTTATCAATAGCTGCTCTACGCATTATTTATTTGGATAACAATTTTACTAATTTCCTAATTTTAGTCTTTCGCTGAAGGGGACCGCGTTAACGTATTGTTCTCTTGCTGATCAGTACGATGAATGGCGAGAAAACGGAACGCGTCTCTTTTGAGCCAAAGACACAAAGCATATTATAAATGTAGTGAATAAGAAGGCTCCTTTGTAAATACATTTCACATGCGTTTCAAACCTTGAAAGTGAAATAACAGAATGAATATTTAATACGCTGGCTGTAACAAAAGCAACAAACCTAAATAAAAAAAAATGCCCTCTTTTACGGCAGTTTAACACTTGGGGCACCCACATCAGATTTACAGTGGTTAAAAGACTTACTCCGGACAAACTGAGAAAAGACACATCTAGCATTTTATTATGCCAATGGAAGCTTATTATACAACGTGTCCTTTATTACTGACTTTCCCTTCTTTTCAGTCCAGGGATTCGTTCCCCGGACCTCAGTGGTGAGAGGCGCGACTCTCACCACTGGGCTACGGTTGTTGGAATATTACTGACACTCACCGCTAGTCTCATGCCTGCTCCTCACTGGCTCCCAGTGCTCACTTGAAGACCCCTGAAGAAGTCACTGACGAGGACTCGGCGTATCCTCAGTTATATAAGGCAGCTTGACCTTCGTTTCCTCCCCGCCACCTTCGGCTCCCACCGACCATAACCCCAGAGTTCACACAGGTATAATTATATTTTTGTGATCTGTTCTATGGACAAAGGAAAGAGGCCACTGCATCCCATGGTCGTGTCTCTCACTGCTTTGTTGCTGCTGCATCATACCTTGATGTACCTTTGTTTCACATACTCTTGAGTACTTGTTCACATACTCTGAGACCTTTGTTTCATCAAACTCTTGATGTACCTTGTTTCATCATACTCTTGATGTACCTTGTTTCACATACTCTTGATGTACCTTGTTTCATCATACTCTTGATGTACCTTTGTTTCATCATACTCTTGATGTACCTTTGTTTCATCATACTCTTGATGTACCTTTGTTTCATCATACTCTTGATGTACCTTTGTTTCATCATACTCTTTGTACTTGTTATATACTCTTATGTCTTTTCATCATACTCTTGATGTACCTTTGTTTCATCATACTCTTGATGTACCTTTGTTTCATCATACTCTTGATGTACCTTTGTTTCATCATACTCTTGATGTACCTTTGTTTCATCATACTCTTGATGTACCTTTGTTTCATCATACTCTTGATGTACCTTTGTTTCATCATACTCTTGATGTACCTTTGCCTCACTGATGAATGCTATTTTCATCGTATATATATATATATATATAATATAATATATATATATATATATATATATATATATATATATATATATATATATATTATATCACAGACAAGTTATAGACGTGTTGTGGTACGTGTGAGGTACGTTTGCCATCACAATGTATGGTATACAGTTTGCATATCAGTTGTTGTCAGGAAAATTCAAATTGTGAGAGCAGGTAGAGCTCATTTTTTATTTTAACTGTTCACATATCATCATAGAGAGGAAGGGCTAACCGTAAGGCATGTAGCGCTGGAGAGTGGTCAATTTGTAACATTTTCAATTTGTAGGAGACTTGTGGTTGTTTTCGAGATAGAGTCAGATGTAGGGGTAGAGCGTTAAAATAATGTAAAAATACCGACACATGGAATATAACACAATGCAGTTAATGTGATCCTTTATTGTCACGTTCGCCTAACATGGGTCTTTTTCAAGTCACAAACAGAACTATGGGTGGAGGATAGGAGTATTTAAGTCGGTTCAGAATGCTGAGGTCAGGTGAAGAATGCTGCATGTGATGTACAGTGGGTTAAGAGTTAAAAACTTGGTAGTTGGAAAGGAGATTGGATAGTTTTTGAGCAACTGCTTTCAACAAACTTATCCAATCTCCTTCCAAGCTACCCAAGTTTTAGGACCTATAACCCACTCGTACATCATCAGTGAGCATCCTTCACCGACCTCAGCATTCTGACGGACTAAAATTCTCGCGATCCTTCACCAGGTAGTTCTGTTGTGATGAAAAAGCCACTTGTGGGCGAAACGTAGTCAATAAAGGATCACATTATACTGCATTTGTGTTTATATTTCCAGGTGAGAGCGTTCTCAGCGTCTTAACGAGCTTACAAATAGCAAGGCTATGTAACATAGGGGGATCCTTCAAGGGGAGAAGAGGGCTCCTTGTTGTTTGGTGAACGGGCTTGTGGTAAAAAAAATGTTGGAACTGCTCTCCCCTTTCGTGGGTCAAAAGGTTTAGCTCTTCCTCATGAATAGAATAATAATGATGATAATGATAATAATAAAAAAATATAATAATAATAATAATAATAGTAATAATAATAATAATAAATCATAAGAAAACAGAATTTGCATTTCTCAATTAATGTACATTTTGGGGAGGAAATTAAGACGACGTTTCGGTCCTTGCTGTACCATTATCAGGACGGACCGAAACGTAGTCCGAAGTTACCTCTCGAAAGAGTGGTTTATTTGTGAATTCTGCAGCCACAGTACTGTTGCGGCCTCGGCATTGTCGCAGCCACACTATTGCTGCAGCCACACTATTGCTGCAGCCACAGTATTGTTGCAGCCACAGTATTGTGACTTATATTATTGGTGTCACATTAGAATAACCAAATAAAAGATATAACGTGTCCTTGAGACTTGAGGTTTTAGCTCTCCTAGGATTCACAGGTGGTGGGGAATCGGTGGGCAGCCACAGGAGGGTGGGGTAAGTAGGCTGCCACAGGTAGTGGAGATGGTGGGCTGCCATTGGTGGGTGGGTAGGTGGGATGCTACAAGTAGGGTAGTTGAGCTGTTTTGTGATGAGTGACTTTCTCTTGTCATCTGAGCTTCTCTCTTTGGCTAACAATATAATTATTCTTTTTCTGTCAATTTCCACGTGCATAACAAGCTCGGAAGAGAGCTTTTATGCTGGTGATAGTGGCGGGTTGATGGTGGCAATCATGGTGTAGAGCTAATGGTGGTAGGTGGTGGTGGTTACGTCGTGAGTGTGGTAGAGATGGTGGCAGTGATGGTGGTGTGAGTGACAGTAATCATGCTAGCCATCACATGATCAGAGCACTGTGATGCAAGAGATCACATATTAACAACAAAAAAAAAAATAAGCGAAGATTACGGCACATAGCTTTACAGCCCTGACTGCTAACCTCTTTATCAGCACCCACCTATCAAGAACCCCTGTGCTCACACCCACCTAGCAACGAACACTTCCGTACTGGCACCCACCTTGCAAGCACTCCTCTGCCCATACCCACCTAGGAAGTACTTCTGTGCCCCACCTACCTAACTGACAGTTATTTTATTATGAATAAAGTGCAACAAAAAACAAAATCATCAGTAAAACAGGAAGTTTATTATTATTAATTATTTTATTATTATGAAAATCACAGTGAAGCACTAAACTTGTAGGGGGTCATACAGCCCCTGCAGATTGAAAGGGAATCAAGTTTTATCCATGGAATGGCGGGTGGCTCCATTACCTTGGTTAAACCTCCTAGAGGGAAGATAACCTGGGAAGAAGCTCGTGTATGTACGGGATCCACAACTAAAGTCAGCAAGTCTTTGTTTGCCATGATTTTCTAGAAGATTTTAGTGAAGTGAGGACGTTTTCATTTCCCAGAGGCAGCCAGATGAGAGGAGATAATACACCAGGCTAGAGTAATGAAGGGAAACAATGTGGAGAGACACAAGTGTAGAGAAACTGTGTCGAACACTAGTGTAGGGAAACAATGTAACACTGTATGTCATAACATCTCTCTCTCTCTCTCTCACACACACACACACATTAGCATCTATGCATTAATTAGAATGTTAATACTATTTTTAAGTAAAAAAGGAACAGTTCTGAATGTAAAATACTGGGTAGAAAAATTTAGGGGTGACACGTTAACTGACATTAGATACGGAACAGCGGCGCTCAGGAACGCATTGATCTATTTTACGTTGTTTCTTACGAGGAAAATAGTTTCCGAGTACAGTACATCAGACTTACTACGTATAATTTTTTAGGAACGCATTAATATCATCAGCTCGGGATCTACTGTTTTTTACGCTCTTTTTTATATATTGTTACATCAGCAAAGCCAAGATGAATGCTATTATTTCACTAACTTAAATATATTGATATCAATTTCAGGTATTTCTCTTATTCTTTGATATGGGCAAATAGTTTCCTTATTCTTTATGTTATTGTGTGAATAAAAACATTTGTTTTCGTTGATCTGTAACGCACACTAAGTATAAAGCAATGTTCTTGCTAGGCAAGCGCAGCTTCAAGACAGGTCTCCACCTGGCCGCTTCCCCACCTTCCAAGTAGATTGCCACACCTATCTCCGTTATATATAGAAATTCTGGAGCTGCCCTTGCTTGAACCTGGTGACCTCCGTGACGCGAGTCCACTCCTGTGATCGCTGAGCCTCAGTTGTCGAGTGAGTTCGCGAGATCGGTCCCTATTGCCCCCTGCCCCAGTTATGCACTCTCATGGTACTCTGAAAGGAACCCCCCCCCCCTGGCCCACCAAAAAAATTTTAAAGGGGTTTTTTTCAAAATTTTTAAAAAAAAAAAAAAAAAAAAAAAAAAAAAAAAAAAAAAGAAAAAAAGGGAAAAAAAAAAAAAAAAAAAAAAAAAAATTTTAAAAAAAAAATTTTTTTAAAAAAAATTTTTTTTTAAATTAAAAACAAAAAAATTTTAAAAAAAAAAAAATTTTTTTTTTTTTTAAAAAAAAAAAAAATTTTTAAAAAATTTAAATTTTTTTTTTAAAAAAAAAAAAAAAATTTTTTTTTTTTTTCCTAAAAAAAAAAAAAATTTTTTTTAAAAAAAAAAAAAAAAAAAAATTTTTATAATTAATTTTAAAAAAAAAAATTTTTTTTTTCATTTTTAAAAAATTTTAAAAAAATTTTTTTTTAAAAAAAAAAAGGGGGAAAAAAAAAAAATTTAAATTTTAAAATTTTTTTTTAAAAATTTAAAAAAAAAATAAAATTAAAAAAATTTTTTTAAAAAAAAAAAAAAATAATTTTAAAAATTTTTTTAAAAAAAAAAAATTTTTTTTTTTTTTTAAAAAATTTTTTTTTTTAAAAAAAAAAATTTAAAAAATTAAAAAAAAAAAAAAAAAAAAAAAAAAAAAGGGTTTTTTAAAACCCCCCAAAAATTTTAAACCCCCCCCCCAAAAACCCCCGGTTTTTCCCCCCCCCCCCCCCAAAATTTTGGGTTTTTAAAAAACCCCCCCCCAAATTTAAAATTTTTTAAAAAGGGGGTTTTAAAAAAACCCCCCCAAAATTTACAAACCCCCCAAAAACCAAAAACCCCCCCCCAAAAAAAGGCCCCCTAAATTTTAAAAAACCCCAAAAAAACCCCCTTTTAAAAAATTTTAAAACCCCCCCCCCAAAAAAAAAAAAAAGGGGGGCCCCCCCCCCCCCCGGGCCCCAAACCCCCCCCCCCAAAAAAATTTCCCCCCCCCCCCAAACCCCCCCCAAAACCAAAAAACCCCCCCCCCCCCAAACCCCCCAAAACCCCCCCCCCCCCCCCCCCAAAACCCCCC